GGGATTATAGGCATGAGCCACTGCACCCAACCATATTTTTTAATTTTAATTTTATTTTATATTTGAGATGGAGTCTTGCTTGTCTTGCCACCCAGGATGGAGTGCAATGGCACAATCTCAGATCACTGCAACCTCTGCCTTCTGGGTTCAAGTGATTCTTCTGCCTCAGCCTCCCGAGTAGCTGGGATTACAGGTGCCCACCACCATGCCCAGCTCATTTCTTTTTAAATTTTATTTATTTTTTCAATTGTTTTATTTTTCTGTTCCAACGAATTTTTTTTTTTTTTTTTTTTTTTTTTTTTGAGATGGAGTCTTGCTTTATCACTAGGCTGGAGTGCAGTGGTGCAATCTCGGCTCACTGCAACCTTCGCCTCCTGGGTTCAAGCAATTCTTCCACCTCAGCCTCCAGAGTAGCTGGGACCACAGGCACATGCCACCATGCCCGGCTATTTTTTGTATTTTTAGTAGAGATGGGGTTTCACCATGTTGGCCACGATGGTCTCGATCTCTTGACCCGCCTCGGCCTCCCAAAGTGCTGGGATTACAGGCGTGAGCCACCGCGCCTGGCTATGAATTTTTTTTTAAAATAGATTCTCACTCTATTGCCCAGGCTGGAGTGCAGTGGCGCAGTCTCAGCTCACTGCAACCTCTGCTGCCCAGGTTTAAGCAGTTCTCCTGCCTCAGCCTCCGAGTAGCTGGAATTACAGGCACCTGCCACCGTGCCTGGCTAATTTTTGTATTTTTAGCAGAAATGGGGTTTAACTATCTTGACTAGGCTGGTCTTGAACTTCTGACCTCATGATCCACCCACCTCAGCGTCCCAAAGTGCTGGGATTATAAGCGTGAGTTACTGTGCCCGGCCTAATTTTTGTATTTTTAGTAGAGTTCGTATTTCGTCATGTTGCTCAGGCTGGTCTCAAACTCCTGACCTTGTGATCCACCTGCCTCGGCCTCCCAAAGTGCTGGGATTACAGGCATGAGCCACCATGCTCAGTCTATTTCATATTGATACTGTTCATTTTTAATTCTGATAGGGACATGTTATAATTAAATTTTATCTCTTGTGTTTCCGTCAGTTTTATATGTATTTTTTGCGTTAAGCTATACAAGCTCTATTGTAACCTTATTAATCGCTCCCATTTTCTTTTTAAAATTTTCTTTTTTTTTTTTGAGTCGGAGTTTCGCTCTTGTTACCCAGGCTGGAGTGCAATGGCGCGATCTCGGCTCACCGCAACCTCCGCCTCCTGGGCTCAGGCAATTCTCCTGCCTCAGCCTCCTGAGTAGCTGGGATTACAGGCACGTGCCACTATGCCCAGCTAATTTTTTGTATTTTTTTTTTTTTTGTAGAGATAGGGTTTCACCATTTTGACCAGGATGGTCTCGATCTTTTGACCTCGTGATCCACCCGCCTCGGCCTTCCAAAGTGCTGGGATTACAGGCGTGAGCCACCGTGCCCGGCTAAAATTTTCTTTATCTGTTAGCTTGTTACCTTGTGATAGATCATTTCCTTAATCCTCAAAGTTTTGGCAGCAAATGTTAGATTCTTTTTGCTTTTTTTCCCAAATATAAGGCTGAATAAGATTGGCTATTTTTTAACCCAGTCATCAGTATTCATTGTTAAATAGGTGTTAAGCCATTTATACTCAGTGTGTTAATTGATCTATTTGTATTCATCTCCTTTGCTGGTTTTGTTAGATTTGTTGATACTTCTCCTCTGTAGAGATTATATAGTAGACTTGAAACTTCATTTAGATAGGTTTTATGTACGTATGTATGTATTTGTGTCTAGTCCTTGATTCAGGATAGACAGCTATGTTTCTAACATGTTAGTGTAACATTTTAATGTTGTAGCAAGTGGTTTATTTCTACTGATTCTTATTACGTATTGTCTATTATCAGCATATATTATTTGTTTGAATTATGTACAAAAAGCGATTATATCCTGATTGTGTGAAGTACTGTACATATTATATGCTTTCTTATTATCATGATTCACTCGAGTTTAACGTCTCTATCACTATTCTTACCATCTTGTTTATAAAAACAAGATGCTTTTAAATTCCCATCATCTCTTGTCATGAGCTTTACCCTTATGACAGGACTTGGTTAATAGATTCTATCAGGTTCTTTATGGTTTGATATGTTCTGCTTCTAGGGTAAAGTTGGCTCAAAACCTCATTTCTAATACAGTTTCATGTGATTAAGAATGCAGACTCTGGAGAAGCAACCTGTTGGGGTTCAAGTCAGTGACTCTGCCACTTACTAAGTGGGACCCTGCACAAGTTACTTCCCCTAGTGCCTCCGTTTCCATATCTAAGATGTGGATGGTAATAATATGCCTACCTCACAGAATTGTCTTGAAGTTTAAATGAGATGATACAGGCAGAGCATTTATAACTTTGGCTGACATAACATAGTATGCAGTCAGTGACTAAGTGTTAGCTGTCAGCATCATTTTTGCTTCTGAGCTCTTCTGCAGAGTCTCAGGAATAAGATCCAAAGTCACCTTTATCTTTTCATTTTAATATTACTAATCTCATTTATCAAGTGCCAGCCGTGCTTCTCAGGTAAATGAGAAGTTAGGTAACTTTTTCCAAGGTCATATAACTTGGAAGAGGGAAAGGCCAGGGATCAAACTCATATGTGTCTTAAAACAGTCTTTTTTCTTTGTACAACGCCATACTGACTTCTTTGAAATCACTCTCATCAAGTAGATTTTTAAAGGGTTAGTCATTAAGAGACTTTCTGAAAGAAATTGTATTCTCTTAACCATATACAGTTGTTTTATTTATTCATTTTTAGAATATTATTAGCAGGTTCATGATTCTTCAGTTGTATTACTTTCAGAATTTATCTCCTTATTCAGCTATCTAGGTCAATCAGTTTCTCCCTATGTATGTTATTATTGCTACTGCTTTAATTGTATTATTTCTACCCATCATGGCTTCCCTTGATCTTTTTAGGTTCATCACATAGCATTTGTAATTTTATTTCTACCTCAATTTCTACTGCACCCACACGCAGCCCCTGTCTTCTCTCTCTTTTTTTTTTTTTTCCTGAGACTGGGCCTCACTCTGTCGCCTAGGCTGGAGTGCAGTGGCGTGATCTCTGCACACTCCAGTCTCCGCCTCCCAGGTTCAAACGATTCTCCTGTCTCAGCCTCCCAAGTAGGTGGGACTACAGGCATGTGCTACCACGCTCAGCTAATTTTTGTATTTTTTAGTAGAGATGGGGTTTCACCATGTTGGCCAGGATGGGCTCCATCTCATGACTTCATGATCCTCCCGCCTCGACCTCCCAAAGTGCTGGGATTACTGGCGTGAGCCACCTCGCCTGGCCTGGTTTTTTTTTTTTTTTTTCTCCAAAAGCTAAGAAAGAGCCCTCTGAAATTGCTACCAGAAATCCCCATTTAGGTGATAGGTTGCACTTTATGAATTTTTTTTGAATTCTTGGTTAGATTCTTGAAGGGCTTTGACAAAGGAGATGACAGGGTCCTGCCCTGTCACATAGTAAGCACATGATAACGTCTCCATTCCTTCTTGATGTGAATATTATCTGGGCTTGAGGACTTCGTTAATTTAAAGCAATTAGCAAGGAAGGAAAAGATGATTAGTTGAGCACCTATGTGCCAGGTGCAGAGCTAAGCATTTTATCATATATTGTTTCATTTACTATTTATTCAGCCATCTGAGACATCAACTATCTCTCTTCTAGTCTGGTCAAGTTTAAATTATTCTACTTGATGGAAAAGGTGAAAGCACAAGAATCAAGTTCTGTTTTCTCATCATCTATTGATATTTTATTATCTTCCCTCTCTGGTAGTGGACCTGTCTCTTGTATTCCATGTAGCCATTTGTTCTAAGAGTTCACCTTGCTGACACCATAATTTAAGATTCAAGTTGTTCTTTACCTGGTTTTGTATTTGTTTTTTTCTTATGTATACATGTCTGATCACTCCCTCTGAATCTATGATGGTTTTTTCAGATGTCTTTACCTTTTCTCCCTCATAGAGATTGCTATTGAACTGTTAGAATTTTTATATTATGAAATATATGAATACAAATAATATGAAATATTAAGAAAGTAAGGTCACTTTCTCCCATTCTCATAGGTTGTTCCACATTAACACTCTTCAAGAGTATCAGTTTTCTGTTCTTGGAGGTCTTTGGTTGTATTTGATTCAACCGTTACAGCAAAGCAAGATCATGACAAATTTTGCAGTGGAAGGGGTTTTGTCTATAGGTGGTCCAGAACCCAAGTTCTGGTTTGGGGTAGGCAAGAATCTCAAAAACAGAGTCTTCCAGGGAGCATCCTAACGTCAGGGAGGGAGGATTATAACAGTGGATACTCGACAGATGTTCAGTCCATCCTGATTGCTGTTTATTTCTCATCCTGCAGTGTGGGCCAAACTGAAATTGCAGAAGGCTTCAGAACGATGGCAGCCTGACACTGAGGTGGGTACTAATATGGATGGTGTTGGGGATAGTGTCAAGTGATAGAGAGCTCCCCCACCACGTAGAAGGAAGGTGCAAGATGATCCAGGCAAATTATCTGCAAATACTAGAATAGAATAGAATGGTATACTGCAGCAGTGAGTATAATGTGACAATATCTATAAATTGACTTTTCCTTTTTTTTTTTTTTTTTTTTTTTTTTTTTTTTTTGAGTCTCTCTCAGTCACCTAGGCTGGAGTGTAGTGGTGCAGTGTTGGCTCACTATAACTTCCACCTCCCAGGTTCCAGCAATTCTGCCTCTGCCTCCGAGTAGCTGGGATTACAGGTGCCTGCCACCACACTCAGCTAATTTTTGTGTTTTTAGTAGAGACAGGGTTTCGACATGTTGGCCAGACTGGTCTTGAACTCCTCACCTCAGGTGATCCACCCACCTCGGCCTTCCAGAGTGCTGGAATTACAGGCATGAGCCACACACCCAGCCTTAAATTGACTCTTGACATGTAAGCCTAATTTATTTGTTATATTTGTCAGACTTTATTATTATTTTAAAATATGGAATGCTTCATAGATTTCCATGTCATCCTTGCACAAGTGCCATGCTACTCATCTCTCTATCATTCTAATTTTAATATATGTGCTACCAAAGGAAGCACTGTCAAACTTTTTATTTATTTATTTATTTATTTATTTATTTTTTGAGACAGGACCTGGCTCTGTCACCTAGGCTGGAGTGTAGTGGCACGACCTTGGCTCACTATAACCTCTGCCTCCTGGGCTCAAGCCATCCTCCCACCTCAGCCTCCCAAGTAGCTGGGACTACAGGTGTATGCCACCACACCCCGCTAGTTTTTATATTTTTTACAGAGACCTGGGTTTCGCCATGTTGCCTAGGCTGGTCTCAAACTCCTGACCTCAAGTGATCTGCTCAACTCAGCCTCCCACGTATTACAGGCATGAGCTACCACACCAGGCCAGTACTGTCCAACGTTAAATCCATGTCTGAAGACAGGTTGTAGGCTGGCGTGGTTGTTCACAGTAGTAATCCTAGCACTTCGGGAGGCCAGAGCAGGAGGATCACTTGAGGCCAGGAGTTTAAAACTAGCCTGGGGAACATAGTGAAACTTTGTATCTACAAAAAATAGTTAAAAGATTAGGCCAAGCGCCGAGGCTTACACTTGTAATCCCAGCACTTTGGGAGGCTGAGGCAGGCAGATCATTTGAGGCCAGGAGTGCAAGACCAGCTTGGCCAACATGAAGAAACACCATCTCTACTAAAAATACAAAAATAAGCGGGTGTGGTGGCACATGCCTGTAGTTCCAGCTACTTGGGAGGCCCAGGCATGAGAATCACTTAAACCCAGGAGGCGAAGGTTGCATGAGCCAAGATTGTGCTGCTGCACTCCAGCCTGGGTGACAGAGCAAGAAGACTCTGTCTCAGAAAAAAGAAACAATTAGCCACATGTGGTGATGCATGCTTGTAGTCCCAGCTAATTGGGAGACTGAGGCAGGAGGAACGTTATTCTCCCATTCAAATTTTGAAATGGGCCAGGTGCAGCAGCTCATGCCTGTAATCACACCACGTTGGGAGGCCTATGCAAGGCAGATCGTTTGAGCCCAATAGTTGGAGAACAGCCTGAGTAACATGGTGAAACCATCTCTCTACAACCTGAGAGGTGGAGGTTGCAGTAAGTCGAGATCATGCTCCTGCACTCCAGTCTGGGTGACAGAGCAGAACAAGACTTCGTCTCAAAAATAAATAATAAATGCCGAGATTGTCCTACTGTACTCCAGCCTGGCTGACAGAGCAGAGCAAGACTTTGTCTCAAAAATAAGTAGAATAGCCGGGCTCAGTGGCTCAAGCCTGTAATCCCAGCACTTTGGGAGGCCGAGGCGGGTGGATCACGAGGTCAAGAGATCGAGACCATCCTGGTCAACACGGTGAAACCCCGTCTCTACTAAAAATACAAGACATTAGCTGGGCATGGTGGCGCGTGCCTGTAATCCCAGCTACTCAGGAGGCTGAGTCAGGAGAATTGCTTGAACCCAGGAGGCGGAGGTTGCGGTGAGCCAAGATCACGCCATTGCACTCCAGCCTGGGTAACAAGAGTGAAACTCTGTCTCAAAAACAAAAACAAACAAACAAAAAAAATAAGTAGAATAGAATAGGATAAGACAGAATAGAATCAAGCAAAATTGCTCTGGACATGGAGAAGCTCAGACTTCTTGGTCTCTCTTTCACTCGCTGCGGTGGTCTCTGGGCAGAAACCTGGGATTCTTGGGAACCATTTGCAAACTGCTGTTGTAGGTCAGCCTTTTTTTTTTTTTGCGTGCGTGTGTGTGTGTGTACAAGATTTTATTAAAGGTCGTTACAGAGCAACATCCAGACTCCAGAATGCAGCTGCCAAGGAGACCCTGTTACGCTGTGGGGACTGGCTGGGGCAGGTCAGCCTTTCTTAACCAGGGTTCCTCATCTTAAACACAAAAAGAAAGCTAAGTGAACTATTTTCTTAGATACCCTAAAGATGGGTCATGACTGATACCATTCTAGATGTCTAGGAGAGAAGTTAATTCATTGCACACAGTGGCTGCTTTTGGGCAGTGGGGCTTAATTCTCTTGTGGAACCCCAGTTGAGAAAGGCTGTCTTAGATGAATTCCAATCTTAGTGTACCAGAGTATGCCATGGAAGCAGGTCAGGATGAGCTCAGGTTATCTAGAGATTGGTTCCAAACATTTCTTTTAGGAGATGTATCTAACAAAATGTACCCCTTCCTTTTCAGGAAGAATATGAAGACTCAAGTGGGAATGTTGTGAATAAGAAGACATACGAGGATCTGAAAAGACAAGGACTGCTCTAGTGTTCAGGGATGTAGCTCAGCTTTTGGGCTAGTCCAGGCTTCCCTAAGATCTGCTTTTTCTATTTCTCCCAACCAAATCCTCTTAAAGACCCTTTGCTATGTAGTCTCATGGTCTAGCATGCATCTTGTAGAAACAAGGCATGCTGGCAGATTGCAGGGTTGGGATGTGTTTTATCTGTTTTATATTAAAAAAAGATTCTGCCAGAAAATAAAACCAGGCCTTGTTCTGAAGCCCAGGGTTATGGACCAACTCAGTGCTTCAGGTCTGAATGCCTCCATACCTCTTTCTTACCAACTTTAATAGTAGCTGAGATTTAATGGGCACCTGTTACACTACACATCATGTTAGGTAAATCTTACCTGAGCTCTTTCCCCATCCTCCTTTGTTGCTACTTCCTGAATGAGTATTACCCCAGGATGAGGTCTGCTATCAGTTTAGTTAGCCACTGATGCAAATACTAGGGAAGGACTAGGAGGGGGAGCCGGGGCTGCTACTTACGAGCTAAGTGTGGCACCAAGGTTTGCCTTTTGTATTTGCATAAAGAAAGGAGTTGGAGCTGGGTCCAGTGGCTTGTGCCTGTAGTCCCAATTACTTGGGAGGCTGAGGCAGGAGGGTTGCTTGAGATCAGCCTATGTAACATAGTGAGACCCTGTCTTATTTAAAAAAAAAAAAAAAAAAAAGGTAGGCATGGTGGCACACACTGTAGTCCCAGCTACTCAGGAGGCTGAGGTTAGAGTATCCTTTGAGCCTAGGAGTTTGAGACCAGCTTGGGTGATACTGTGAGGCCCCATCTCAAAAAAAGTAGCTGGCTGGCTGGAATGGGCCTGTACCCCAATATGCAATGCAACTAGGACCAGCAGTGACTTCACCACCTGCTTGCTAGGTCAGAATGAGAGACTTTGGTGGGTCTGTCTACCTGTTTCTTCTACAAGATCCCTACTTGACTATAGCAAATATTCACATGCTCTCCGAGCCCAGGTAGCCATGGTAGAGTTGAGCAGCTCCCCCGGGATCCAAATCTGGTGTCTGAAATGGAAAGTACTAGGGCAGCCAGGAAGGCACTGATCTGCCTTCTAAGCATAGTCCTCTGAAAGTAGGCCTGCTGCAGGACAGGATCCCCCAGAGGCCCCATTTGCCTCTCAACACTCAGGCTTTCAATTGTTTTTTAATAAATTACTTTTTTAAAAAAATTTAATCTTTTTCTTTATATTATAGATTTACATCTTATTTTTCTAAAAACCCGCCAGGGACCAGTGCTGCACTTGCCCCAGGCAGAGTCAGGCTGCCTAATAATGTATCTACTTTTAAAAATCCCAACTCATGGCCGGGCGCGATGGCTCACACCTGTAATCCCAGCACTTTGGGAGGCCAAGGCGGATGGATCACCTGAGATCAGGAGTTTGAGACCAGCCTGGCCAACAATGTGAGATCCCATCTCTACTAAAAATACAAAAATTAGCTGGGCGTGGTGGCGGGTGCCTGCAACCCCAGCTACTTGGGAGGCTGAGGCTGGAGAATCACTTGAACACAGGAGGCAGAGGTTGCAGTGACTGGAGATCACGCCATTGCACTCCAACCTAAGTGACATGAGCGAAACTCTCAGAAGAAAAATAAAATAAATCCCAACTCAGGCCAGGCGCCACTTTAGGAGGCCGAGGCTGGCAGATTACTTGAGGTCAGGAGTTCAAGACCATCCTGGCCAACATGGCAAAACCCTGTCTCTACTAAAAAAAAAATTAGCCGGGGATGGTGGCATGCACATGTAGTCCCACCTACTCAGGAGGCTAAGGCAGGAGGATCACTTGAACCTGGGAGGCGGAGGCTGCAGTGAGCCAAGATCATGCCACTGCACTCCAACCTGGGTAACAGCAGACCCCATCTCAAAATCCCAACTTGAACTAGCCCTCTGCCTCACACTAATCTTTTGCCCTAGTCATTTCCATGGCAGTAAAGTTTCACCACTCCCACCCCAGTGGCACTTTAGGTTGGTATTTTCCCTCCTGGTTCGACGCATCCCTGTGCAACTCATGTTCCCTTGTGCCTTCACTCCTTCAAGACTCCAGTCGGACAGCCTCTCCAGGGCATGAGCTGAAGCAGAGTGAGTGGATAATTAAACCTAATTGAGCCAACTAGAAACACTGATTAGTGGACCCTGGCCCAAGGTGCAAGGAGGCATTGCCATTTGAGAAGAGTTAAAACCTTGGAATGGGAAATGTGCAGAGAAGGCCCGTCAGACTGCTCGGCGGAACAGTGGCTGCACTGGGCTACCAAGCGTCGCACCTGCAGCTTTCCAGCTTTTGGGAGTCCTCAAAGCCCTGTCTTGAGTGGGTACCTGGGATTCCAGGGTTAATGGGCTCTCCCTCTACAGTGTGGAAAGGAGGTAGGACCAGGTTCTGAGGAGTCCTGCCATCCCCTTGCCCAGTAACTGAAGTCATCATGTGAACTCTGCCAGAACAGCCTTGGAGGGAACCTGGGGCTTAACTGTCACTGCAGAAGTTTGTTCATTTGTTACCTTCATTAATTCAGGGTTTTTGTTGTTGTTGTTTTGAGACAGAGTCTCGCTCCGTCGCTGGGAGCCAGGCTGGAATGCAATGGTGAGACCTCGGCTCACTGCAACCTCCACCTCCCGAGTTCAAGCAATTTTCCTGCCTCAGCCTCCCGAGTAGCTGAGACTACAGGCGCGTGCCACCACGCCCAGCTAATTTTTGTGTTTTTAGTAGAGACGGGGTTTCACCATGTTGGCCAGGATGGTCTCAATCTCTTGACCTCGTGATCCACCCGCCTCGGCCTCCCAAA